TTGAAGGTTTTAAAATGGAAAAATAGCCTTTCTCATTTATTCTTTCTAATTATCAGTCCTTCTTTAAGATTTAAGATTCTAACTGCTGATAGCTCACTTCAGCCTAAACAACTTTCAGCATTTCTTGTGGAATAAGTTTGCTGGCAAAAAGCTCTTTTCGTTTTTCTCTAATTTGAAAATGTCTTTGTCTTCCTTTTCAAAAGAGATCGTCATTGTTCATAGAATTTTAAATTCTCGGATTTTTGCCACCCCCGCCCCACCCCACACTTTTTAAATATTTCACTTTTTCACCCTCTGTAACTTTTAACGGGAAATTAGTGCCCACTTAAAGCTTTGTTCTCCCAAAAGTATTTGGGCATTTTTCTCTCAAGACTTTTTCTTTACTATTGGTGCTTAGCAATTTGAAATAAGAAATGTCAAGACACAGCTTTCTTCAAATTTATTCCATTTGGGGTTTGGCATATTTCTTGATCTTATACATTTATATATTTTACCAAATTTGACAGTCTAGGGCATTATTTCTTCAAATGTGTTTTTCGTATCATCTTTCTCCTTTTCATATGGGTATCCAATTACATTAATGCTAGACATTTTCATTTTTATCACACACATCCTAAGACTATTCATTTTTTCTACTTAGTTGCTCAAATCTTTTTCTTTTTTCTTTTCTTTATGTGCTTCAGAAAGAACATTTCTATGGATCTATCTTCAGTTTCACTAACATTTCTTTGGCTATCTTAAACTTGGTTAACTTTTAATTCAAATACTGAATTTTCTGTTTCAGAATTTGTGCTTGGTTCTCTTTTGTATTTTTTATTTACTGTCTTCTTATTCATTTGATTCTAGCTCCTGTTCTTCATGGAAAATGGTTACAATCGCTGCTTTAAAATCTTTGTCTGTTTATTCTCACATCTGGGTCACCTTGAAATCAGTACCAGATAATTGTTTTTTCTCCTTAAAATTGGTCACATTTTCTTGGTTCTTCATATGTCATGGAATTTGGGGTTGAATCATGTGAGTATATAAATATAAATGTTATGGCATGAAGAGTTTAAATTATTTGGGTTATCTGAAGAATATTGATTTATTTGTTGTAGTAGGGAACTAGATTAGTTATGCTCAAAATGAACAGAAACTCTTGGGTGGAAGCTCAGATCCCAGATGGGTTTTTTCATTTTTAACTGTGCTAATTTGTATCTGCTCCTTCTATACAAAGTTTAAGTACCAGTCAGGAATTAGGGCACTCATCTTTCCTCTTACTTTTAATAAAACTTCAAAACTCCTTCTAAGTACAGACCTATATTCTTTATCATAGATTTCTCCATACTAAAATCAAACATAAATGTCCTTACTTTCTCCCTGCTAGTGTGATTCTGTTTGGAATTTCCCCACTGCTCTCTTGTTGTGTATTAATAAACTTTAGTAATAAACTTTTCTACATCCCTTGAAAATAAAAGAAATCGGGTGGTATCCACACATAAAAGTAGGGGCTTTCACTCTCTTTCTCTCTCCCTTCCAGGATTCTAAATTCATTTTCCAGTGGCTACGACTGCCCCGAACTCAGATGTTTTGGCCTTCAAACCTAAAAGACTATAGGTTTTCTGTTGGAGATTAACTGTCCCAAGAAACACTGACTTCAGCTTGCCTTCCGTCTAAAAGGTGAAAAATGGAAAACTTACTCTGCACTGGATTATAGAGAATTTCAACTCTTCCAAAGAATATCCCTTATTTTTCCTCTCTAGAGCTGTTGTAGCTTGTGTCTAGATTCCCACCAGAGCCTCATGTGGTTATAGGTGGCTGGATCCAGGATGTGTGTTGCCAGGATCAAAGTCTTGATGCTGGGATTGATTCACAATCTTAATTTTAAGATTAAGGCTGCCCCACCCTGGGCCCCTAAGGGTGAGTAGCCTGGATAGAATACAAGGGACAGAAAGAGGGTCGCTGCTTGTCACTTGCTGCTTGCTGCCTTCTACCTGCTCTGCTTTACCATGTCTATTTCTCCTTTCAGACGCCCCTCTGCCGTCCCACATTGCCTGGGAGCCAGCCCACTGCGAAATGAAACCTCTTCAACTATAAGCTACATTAAATGTTTCCTCCTTTAACTCTGGTACCACGAGAACAGTAACTAAGACAGGTGCCCCCAGGTAAAAATATTTTTCTTACATTTTATTCCATATATATTAGAATGTCAGGCCCAGTAGAGCTTATTTCAACAAGAGAAGTGGAAACAAGAAAAATCATTTTGGAAGCATTCTTTTGCATTTCCTACCACATCTACTCGAAATACTTAACTTCCACCCATTACCTCAACTAGGGATATTTGCTTTTAGCTTAAAGAAGATGCAGAAATCAGATTCAGGGCCTCCTTGATTATCTCACCAAGTAGATGAGAAGATATGGGTTGAAAGCATAGCAGAGCGCGCAATGATAAAATATCAAGTGGAACTTAGAGTGGTAGCACTGAATCTCATGGCAATGACGTTTATACAGATCGTGACTACCAAAGATTATCCACCAGTATTACGCCATTATTTTAGTTACTTTTCGGGTCTCAGATATTTTTATATTTTGCATCCTTGAAGACTACAGTAGGAAATATTCTAAGAGAAATAAAATACTGAAAATCCTTGAATATCAACAGTTACTGAGTGCACATTTTCCTTTAACAATCATTATTATTGCTTCAATTTCTTGAGTTTCTGTATGCAATACAACTTCTTACCACTTTACATAAATTATCATGTAATCCTTCATAATCATTGTAATAAGGTAGCTCATATAATTAGCCTCATCTTATGGAGGATGAAATCAGAGTTCAGAGAGGTTAAGTGGGCTGAGTGTGACAACACAGCAAACAGCAGAAATCTTAAAAAATAGCAAGGAGAGAGGGAGTACTTGAAATAATTAGAAGCATGACTTTTATTATCAGGAGACAAAAGTCCTTCTAAACATGGAGCAAAAACTGACGTTCCTAAAACCTGAAAATAGTACACAATTCCTCTTTTCAATAACTATTGATATTAAAATGCTCCCCTTTCCAAATTATATTTGATATTGAGAGCTTTTATGTGAAAAGCAGTCTTGCTTCAGGGCTTAAAACACTAAGCAAAACAAAAACAACAACAAAATGATCAAATAACGGCATGGGCAGGCTCACAGTAACGAGGTAAGTGACACCAGCACTCCCTTCCCACTCCTTGCATTTACTGTTGTTAACCCTCCTGTTTCCAAGGAAAATGCTCTGGTCAGAGCTAATTCACCTGAGAGGAGTCAGGTGTGTTAGGAAGAGAACACGCCTGCCTCACCCCACTACAACCGCACTGGGGAGTGTTTCTGGGAGATGGTGGCAACACCTCACAGTCCTACAAACTCAGGCTGTACACCCCGAACAACTTTCTCCTGGGTTTCCAGTCACTGGAATGACACAGAGAGGCAGGATACATACACACACAATGTCCAGTGGACACAGGAGGCTGCGTCTTCACTGGAAGCAAGAAAGAAGTTTAGTATCTTTGCATTCTGGCACATGGGACTATTCTACATGTACATGCTAAAATGTTTGTTGGGACCTAGGAATGGGAGCCATAGAATGAAGATGAGAAGTACGGATGGGAAAAGAAAGGGGTATTCAAATGAGGGGGGCTGAAATGAACGCAGTCCACAGACAACCTGCTGAGGAAAATGCCAGTTTAGTTCTGTAGGGGTAGAAAGATAAAGACACATTCCTCACCCATCGGAAGGGTCACAGCCAGTGCTCCTACCATAAAGACAAGTTAACAAGAGCAAAGTATAATGTTTATAGTACTCAAGTTGTAAGGGACGCAGAGGTCTTGAGAAACGAAAAGCCAAGACCCAGGGAGAACTGTCCATTTTCATATTTGGTTCTATGAAGAATGGACAGCCACAGAGAAATGTGAATGGACAGAACAGGTCAAACCTACTGACAACACACTGGAGGGGAAGCCAGCGAGGCCTGCTGGTTCCGATTCTTCTCGGCCCCTCCAGGGCAGGATCCCTCCCCAAGGAGTCTTACGAAACAACTATCAGACAAGGTAGGTCTCTGAGAATTCCTTCATGGCCAACTCTTACACAAAAAGTTGAAGGAAGGTTACAGAGTTATATTTCTAGTTTTTAAGTGTGAGGGAGAAAGATTCTAGTTCTTACAGCCTGCCTTGAGGAAGAGGAACTCTGGTTTCTGTGGGCCATTTTGAGAGAAAAGGGGAGCAGCAGAGAGTGAAAAAAAGACCTGGCTTCTGAAGCTGCGCCAATTCCTGAGCCTTGGTATGCCAGAGTGCCGTACCTTGGGGATTGTTTTCTGAGCCTCAACAGTACATTTCTTCTCATTTATTGCTCTTTAAAAAAAAAAAAAAAAAAAAAAAAAAGCCCTGTTCACCTTTTCCAGTGAAACCATTTAAAGATGCATAAATGCAAGCACTTACTCCATCTTCACGTGTCACGACCGCCCCTTCACTGTGCCCTAGGATGTGCTAGGACTCTGATCCCCCGTGATCCCAACGTGTTTCAGGAGGTGCATCTCATGGCAGAAGCCTCCTCCTGCCTCTGGAAACTTCACTCAAATTCCTCCGTCATCCTCAAAGCCACGCCAGGCATCACAACTTACCTCTGTGTCTACCCTTACCTTTCATACATAAAAATTATTAAATGTGTGTAACTGGTGGGGGAGGACAATAAAATATAGTGTCAGTCAGATGATAGTTAAAGCTATACTTCATGGAAAGGAATAGCAATGCTTTCTTTCACACAGTGAAGTCATCACTCTTTTATTTAACTGACATAATATTTATATTTCAATTTTAAAATCACAGGTACAAATAGAAGTTGAAGAAGACACACTATCTAAGGGAATCTAGACTTGAAGTTTTCCCATTTTAAAAGTTCTATTTTATATGTCTATAGGAATGTTGACACTATTCCAAAGATGACCATAGCAAAACAATTATATCACACTCTGAAAAAGGTCAAAGTTAAGCAAACATTACCTTTCAGACTACTGCTGCCTCCCGAGAGAACTGATGGCAGGATGCAGAGTTTCTAGAGATGGCCAAGGCCGGTGATTCGTCCCAGGACACCTACGCCACAAACAAGAGATGCGGATAATCATTTGAGAAGTGAAGCAGGTGGCTTCTATGTCACATTCACCACACAGAGTGAGCTGGGCTGACTGCACAGATATTACCTAAAGTGCAGCATAACATTACTCTGCAGAGAGGATGTGGCACAGAGTAGCTTAAGAGATTCATACATGATCATGCAAAAGAAATGCAGAATGATGCCTAGATTCTGCACCTTCTGAAATCTAGTCCCAGTCTGTTCTGGATCATATCATCCATCCCTCCTTGGGAGCTTGGCAGTCCTGGCACAGGGGCTTCCACTGCGCAAAACAGACAAGGCCAACCCCTCCTAAGTGCGTCCAGATGAGTTCTTCTTCGGTTTTGTGGTATCCCAAGCCAAATCCTTCATCTGAAGGCTCGTTTTGAAACCCTGGTGTCTTCTAGGCACTAAAGGAATCTCAACAGGGAAGGAATATAGCTTTTGGGTCCAATTGGCTTAGGTTTGGATCTGGGTTTTCTCTGTGTCATATACAGGTGTTCAACCTCATTGATCTTCACCTCTACCAAATGCACATAATAATATGTGAAGGGCACATTTATTAAAAGCACATTTTTTGCTAAAGGAGGATGCTGTAGTTTCTATTGGAATGTCTCCCCAAAGCCTCTCGCAGTCAGAGGCGGGGCCTATGGAAGGCAACTGGATTATGGGGATATTCCACCTGGCGTGGTTTTGTGAGGCGGAGCCTCGTCAGAAGACGGAGGTCACTCCCTGAGACCATACTCTTAAGGGAAATAAATCAGACACACAGGTTTAAGCACCACATTGATAATCTGGTGTGAGAAACTGAATGTGGAAATAAGGACTGAGATGTATAACGGGTGCTGGGAAACAGGAAGAAAGTTATCGAATGGGAAGGGGAACAAGGGAGAAGGGAGAGAGAGAGGAAAGGACAAAAAAAGTGAAAGTAGAAACAAAACATGGAAACAAAGCTTTAGTACATAGAGAAGGAAGGGGACTCCAGGGGGGAATGGGATAAAAGAAAATGTATTAAGAAAAAAAGAAGAGGAAGGTCACTGGTGGTGGCATCTAGAAGGGGATATTTCCCTCCCTGGCTCCTCCCTCCTCTCTCTGCTTCCTGGCTGCCAAGGCACGAGCAGCTTTTCCTCTCCTATCACCTAGCATCATGCAGCCAACCATGCAAGAACCGAAACTTCTAGCAGCGTGAGTCAAAGTAATCCTCTACTCCTGTAAGTTGAAGGTATCAGGTACTGTGTCTCAGCAAGTAGAAAGTGACTGAGACGGAGGATGAAATGCCAAATATTCTTAGAACATGTCAGGCAGAAGGAGGCCCCTTTGCGCCATCGCACTTACAGAAACAACTCCAAAGTGAAGGACGGGTAAAGAGGCTAAAGAGACCTTACTGCCCATAAAGCACTCAACAACATACAAATGCCTCAAATGGTCGGTTCCTCTCTGCTCTGATCTCCACCTCTGTATTTTCTTCAAATGGCCTTCTCTGAACTCAAAATACAATCATAAACATCAATTCATTCTCTCAGGTTTTGTTTAAGAGTAATTATTTCCTTTTAAACTAATTATTTTGGGCCATGTCATGTGAACGGGTCTGCTTAATGGTGTAAATGAAAGCAATGAAGTAGTTCACATAAGAAACATGTGTCAAGATCTGACCAACATCTCTAGCACTATTCTCTGTGGCAATGAATATGATAGCTCCACTCTGCTTTCCTACGGCCTACATTCTGCTGGGGGAAGATAGACAAAATAAATGTTAAACCCATGGTTAAATAATGCTCAGTGCTCTGGACAAACAGTAGGAAAGGAGCTGATGAGTGCTTTGGGGTTGAATTAAGTTTTCCTGCCCTTCAGGGGAAAAAAAAGTTGAATTCCTAACCCCTAGTATCTCAGAAAGTGACTTTGCTTGGAAACAGGACTGATGAATACATAATACGTGAGCATGAGGTCATTCTGGGGTAGGACAGATCTCTACTCCAATAGGACTGCTGTCCTCATAAGAGGATGGTCACGTGACACACAAGAGAACACATGTGGGGAGGCAGGCACAGACTGGAGTTACACAGCTGTGAGACCAGGATTGCCAGGAAACCAACAGAAGCCAGCAAGAAGCAGGAAGGGAGCACCTGTAGATTCCAGAGGGAGTAGCTCTACTGACAGTCTGATTTCAGGCTTGCAGCCTCCAAAGGTGAATGAAAGAGTTCCTGTTGTTTTAAGTTACTGAGCTCACAGTGCTTTGTGTTATTGCAGCCTGTGAGACAAACACAGCAAGTGTGGGGAGACTTGCAATCTAAAGCAAGAAAATTTACAAAGACCTCACTGGGAGATAATAGCTCAGGAAAAACTTGAACGAGATGCTGCAGGAGACAGCCGAAAAGATGCCAAGCACAGGAAAGCGAAAGTGCTTGAGAACATGGTGTGTCAGAAGAGTAGCAGGGAGGCCAGCTGACTGGAACAGTGAGGGGTAGGGGTACGAGAAGAGAAGGAACAGGGACAAAGAGCTGGGCAAGGCCTTCATGGGCACTCTGAGGGCTCAGGCTTTTGCTTGGAGCAAGGTACAAAGCCATGGCACAGTTCTGAGCAGAGATGGAACAAGATCCAACTTCATTTTAATAAGGTTTCTGTGAGAATAAACTGAAGAATGAGCTCATTTCAGAGGCTCCTGCAGTAACCCTGGTGAGCAAAGTTGCTGTCAGGCAGTACCAGGGAAAGAGAAAAGTGGTCAGCCCCATGCTGCATAGTTTGAAAGTGAATCCAAAAAGATCTGTAGCTATAATGGTACACAAGATCCTAATGATATAAATGACAATGTGAAATAGGAAAAAAGGGGGCTAAAGGTGTAATGGCAAGGGTAGAAGAAAGGTAATAAGGGAAAAGAAAACAAAACAATGAGAAAAAGAAAAATGCAAATTAAGTATTTGTAAGTAGGGAAGGGAGGAGGGGGTGAAGGGAGGGCCGGGATAGGAGGAAAAATGAGAACCAAGACCTGTCATGTAAAGGTACAAGATCGCAATGATGAATGTAACTGTACCGCATACCTAAAATGTACCAATAAACTCAATGAGAAAAAAAAAAAATCTGTAGCAGGCTGGAGAGAGAGATGCCTGACTTCTTCATAGTACATAGAGTTGACTTGAAAACCATAAAAATTTAACTCTACCAATCATTTAAAGAAATTATCTTTTCAAATGCCAGACCTATTAAACACACTGACAACATAATCAAGAATAAGTAATCAGAATAATATAGGGACCCTTAAGTCTAGAAAAAGAAATAATAAATATAACAACTAAAAAGAATGGTGAGTCAAATAAGTAATCCCAATGCATTCATGAGCACAAGGCGCTCAGGCTCGTGACACACGAGGAAAGGAGAGGTTAAAATAAAAGGATTCCATTTTTCTTTCACCCAAAAAGTTAAAATGGAAAATTCTGACAGACAAAATTCAGTGTCGCCCAAGATGTTGGGGAAAAAACATAACATTCTTACTTCTGGCAGGATCATGGAACAGTATATTATTACAGTGACTTTTACTATGCTTACTATACTTATCAAAAGTGAACTACACACATCCCACTGCATGGGGGTTCTCCCTGGAGGCTATACTGAGCTCAAAAGAAAATACATAAGCAGACATATTTGAAAAGGAATTTCTCAGCACTTTCGTTTTAGTGTAACAAAACTTGGAAATGTCCTTAAAGTCAGCCTGAAAGGGGAGTGGGTAAGGTGCAGTATATTTACAGGACTGTATACTACACAGTTGTTAAAGAATAAGCTGGTTTTATAGGCATCAGTATAGATGTTTCATAAATAATGTCATGCGAAGAGAGCAACACAGCTGGAAATTTTAAACATATAACAGCATATGTCCATTACAGATATACAAATATGTATATAACAGTATAAACAATGGGCTGGTCAAATGAACCCCAAATCTACGGTAGGGAATCTTTTTTTTATGCTAGGGAATCTTGGTCAGGGTGATGCATGCAGCAGAGAGAGCAGAGGATGAAGGCAAGTGTAAGGTATGGTTTAGTTTCATTAATAATGTATTTAAAGAGGGAAAAACAACAAAAAAGAAAATCTGGCCAAATACAACCAAATGCTCATTTTTGTGTAGCAGAAATACAGATGTTTACTGTACTATTTTTGTGCCTGTCTGTATTTTTAGGTGTTTTTTTTAAATAAAGGAAAGAAGGAAAGAAGGAGGACAAAGGAAAAATAGGAAGAAAAGGATAAAGGGAGTAGGGAGGGAGGGAGGGAATTCATCAGCAGTTCTGAAGTGCATGTAAGCTAAGATGATTGCTTTCTTAAGAATGAAACTCAGAACTACATTTCTTGTGTTTGGTGCAGTTCTGGAGAACAAGCTGAGGGTCTCATCCATGCTAGGCAAGCATTTCCCCACTGAGCTACATACCTATCCCTATAACTAAGTTTTACTAGTCAGTGAGGGGGAGGTGATTTTTCCCCATAGCCTTAGTTTAAGGGTCTGAAGTTAAATTCACCCAGTAGAGGGAACTCTCTGCCATCTGCAATGACAGAGCCCTAGGCCAGGGGACCAGAGCACCACCCGGTAGCCACCATCTTCAGCACATGGCTTTGGAACAACCAACACAAGGGAAAGAAAAACACATTCATAGACAAAGCAAACTGAAAGTGTGTCATGGACATCTTTTCAACCTTTCTAAAAAGCTCACTGCAATTTTCTAGAATCAAGGGAACAATATGCTTGATTAGTTCTTCAAGAGACTTAGCAATTTTACTTTTTCCTACTTCTCTCCTTGCAACAAGTTAGCCATTAACCTTACACGTTCTAGATTTAAGATGAGGTTTTCCTTCCACAAAATGGAATCTGTGCTTTCAAAAAAAAAAAAAAAGGTACTTTGGGATAATTAGTTTTTGCCACTAATAATTAAATGGTCCTCTTTAAGCCAAGGAGGTCATTCCTTCAAGGGGCTAAAATTGTGAAGAATGCTTCTTTTCT